AGAATTCAAAACTGCAATCTATCCTTGATAATAATACTTTTGGGAAGCAAGTCTATGTAAATTTGATTGAACATGGGAGAATTGAACTAACAGCCCTTCATTACTGTATGCAACACTCTTAGTCAAGAGGTTGTTTGACCTTGTTTTCGCGACATGGTCATATTCGTAGGAAGACTTATTGCAACGCACCTAGTCCGGGGTCCATTGTCTGCATGATCATTTCCAAATTTGAACCGTAGACGTGGTACATTCCCAGACGTTTCGGCGGCATCGTCAGTGAGTATCGCCATCCTAAGCACCATACAGTAACTCGTCAGAGACAAGTGAAGCCGATCCTTTGACCAAACGTGTGCTAAACAATTGTGCCATCTCCACTTCTGCCCTGGGTTATTCGCGTTTCCAGTAGCTTCCTATCATGCCGTCACTATTGCAATTTGTACCGTATTTATTTAGATTGTCTGGTGTGCTCCTTTAAGCGACATGACACTTTCACTTTCCAACTCTCGTTCTCACCCCCACCCCATCCTTGTGCAGGGAATGTTGATCAGTCTGCTTTATTATTATGCAATCCTCTTCCCTAGTCTTATCTCAGTCTCTCTCTTGCTCCGTGAAATCCGTCTGCTCTACACCATCTTGGTCTTCATACTCTTAGTCAAGTTTGAGTGTCCATCTCCAAGACCTACTTTATTTGAATATAAACAAAAGTAAATGTATATGGCTTACCAAGAGCAGTTGCTAACGACCATGAGGATGGTAAATATGGTGTTAAAAGAGTGTCTTTCTTGCTCACGACTCACCGGTCTGCTCAACGAGCTTCTCACAGGCCTGCCTGCCCTCGCCAGCGCCAGAGAGACCGGCCACTCCGAGAAGGCCCACTTGTACGTGGAGTGCGCAGACTGAAATGCTCGAGTGAACACGACCCGCCCAGTCGAGTCCGAAAAGCGGCTCGTCGAGCCCAACCAGATTTGGTTCTTGGTTCGCCTGAAAGCCGCTCGATTGGCGGTGGTTGTGAGCTTTGTGGCCGAGATCAGGGCCCCGCAAGACCTGACCGAGGCCGGAATCGGCGACAGGAACCCCGGCGCTTGGCGAAGCCCGCAAATCTGGAGACACGCAAGGGTTGAAGAGAGAAGAGCCCTGTTTGACTGGAGTCCGGACGAGGCAGTCGAGAAGTTGTCGGAGCAGGCGACGAGGTAGCAGAGCAGTCAACTCTAGCAGGAGTGCTCGTTGGTGAGAGGCGAGGGTATGCAGATCAATCATCAGCTGGAAGGGTAGGGAAAAAGCAGAAACCAAACGACACTGGGTCAGAGGATGCAAGGAGTCATGAAGGAAATTAGAGGAAATTATGGAATAAAACGGAGACATGCTTAACACGTGGGTAAAATTAATTTGAAGCAAGGTAGTGCAACTTATAGAGCCAACATATGAACAGGGAAATAAAGAGCAAACAAGTAAGGAAAATGTAAAAAAATTGAAAGAAAGTGGTACAATCACAAAACGGCCAAACAAAAATCAAGAACAGCAAACAACAGACAATGTTTACTTTTCGCATTTACGTACAAGCGCCAGTACGAGACGAGACGAGACGGTGTGAGTAACAAGTTAAAATTGAAGCAAAATTCTAAAGAAGATGAAATGGTCCAAGATACCAATCAAAGCAAAGCAGAGGCTAATTTTAAAACGATTGTACAAAAGATATATTCACCCTATTTCGCTTAACTTGATAAGGCAAA